TAACCCAACGGAAGCAATTCATCTGCCTGGTAAATCAACATGTACTCCTCAGTCCTACGTAGGTACTTGAGTATATGCTTTACCGCAGACCAATGTTCCGGTCTTGGATTACACTGATATCTTGCTACCATGCCCACGGCATAACAAATATCAGGTCGCGTGCACAACATAGCATACATGAGGCTTCTTACTGCCAATGCATAAGGAACTGCCTTCATGTCTTCCATCTCTTGAGGCGTCTTCGGGGACATCCTCTTAGATAGAGGTATTCCATGCCGAAAGGGTAAATCCCCTTTCTTGGAATCCTGCATGTTGAAACGCTTTAGGACAGTGTCTATGTATGTGGATTTGGATAGGCACAACTTTCTCTTCTCTCGATCGCGAATGACCTTGATTCCGAGAACATGTCCTACTTCTCCCAAATCCTTCATATCAAACTGCTTTGATAGCCATACCTTTACGTATGATAACATCTTCACACTGTTTCCAATGAGAAGAATATCATCCACGTACAACACTAGAAACACCACCACTTTTTCATCACTTTTCTTGTACACACAATGCTCATCCGGACATTGGGTAAATCCATACGATTGGACGACTTTGTCAAAACGGATGTTCCAGGACCTCGAAGCCTGCTTCAGCCCATAAATGGACCTCTTCAGCTTGCAGACCTGTTGCTCGTGGCCCTTTGCAATGAATCCTTCTGGTTGCTACATATAGATGTCCTCGTCCAAATTCCCGTTAAGGAAAGCGGTCTTAACATCCATTTGCCAAATCTCATAATCCATATGAGCAGCCACAGCCAAGAGAATCCTGATGGATTTGAGCATGGCTACCGGCGAAAAAGTTTACTCATAATCGATCCCTTCTTTCTGAGTGTACCCTTTCGCAACAAGCCTAGCTTTGAAGGTCTCAACCTTCCCATCTGCTCCTCTCTTTCTCTTATAGACCCACTTGCATCCAATGGCGCGAACGCCACTGGGTGGCTCTTCAAGATCCCAGATCTGATTAGTGTCCATTGACTCCATTTCAGATTTTATCGCCTTTGGCCAAGACTCTGCGTCCCGATCTTGGAGTGCCTCATTGTATGTCCATGGGTCGGATTCAAGAATGTCCGGCACGGCCTTAGAAGACTCTCCCAGACCCATGAACCGTTCGGGCTGCCGGACAACCCTCCCACTACGACGAGGTACTACCTGCTCAGGTTCATCGTCAGCGATACATGTTGCAGTACTTTGTGGTGTATCATCTAGTGCACTCGGTATTGAAGTGCTCACTCTCTTTAACTCCTCAAGAACATGTATACTACTGGGCCTATGATCTAAGGCATAATCTTCTTCCAAGAACCTAGCATTCGTGCTAACGATTACTTTCTGGTCCTCAGGACTATAAAATAGACCACCTTTCGTTTCCTTAGGATATCCCACAAATAGCCTTACTTCTGATCTCGGTTCCAACTTATCAGTATCGGTTCTCAGCACATGTGCTGGACTACCCCAAATCCTGAGATGCCTTAGACTAGGCTTATGCCCAGACCACAACTCCAATGGTGCAGACGGTACTGATTTAGAAGGTACTCTATTCAGAATGTATACCGCTGTTTCTAGGGCATATCCCCAAAACGAATCTGGTAATGTACTATAACTCATCATTGCCCTAACCATTTTCATAAGAGTCCTGTTCCTCCATTCTGCTACGCTATTCTGCTGAGGCGTGCCAGGCGCAGTCAGCTGGGACGTAATCCCATTATCCGTCAAGTAGCTCCTAAATTCATTCGAGAGATATTCGCCACCACGATCTGATCGTAATGACTTGATGCTTTTTCCTAACTGCTTCTCCACAACTGCCTTATACTCCAAGAACTTCTCAAAGCATTCAGACTTGCGGTGCAGAAGGAAAATGTACCCATATCTCGAGTAATCATCAATAAACGTAACGAAGTACTCGAAACCACCTCTCGCTTGAATACTCATAGGACCACATAGATCGGAATGAACTAGCCCTAACACATCTTCGACCCTATGCCCCTTTGAACAAAAAACCCTCTTAGTCATTTTACCTTCCAGGCAAGACTCACAAGTTGGAAAAGCCTCGACTTCTAACGACCCCAAGGGCCCATCTGCTACCAACCTTTGAATCCTCCTAAGGTTAATATGACCAAGTCTTAGATGCCAAAGATATATTTCGTTCATTTTAGAAGGTTCCTTTCTTTTATTCAGATTAGATGATGAGTTAAGTAATTGTTTCTGTTGCAGTGGAGATGACTTAGATTCTAGAATGTATAGATTGTCAACTAATGAACCAGAATATATGAACTTTTTGCCAAAACGACTAACAACTTTATTATCAAACGTAGCGGAAAAACCATTCATAAACAACTTAGAAACTGAAATCAAATTCTTTCTAAAACTGGGAACATAAAGATAATCTTTCAAAACTAGAAACCTATCTAAGCAAAAATCTAAATAGACATCTCCCACTGCAACTGCTGACGCTCTACTAGCATCGCCCAAGTAGATGGTAACTTCTCCTTCCCTAAATCACTTGATTTCCTGGAACCCCTGCAATGAATTGCAGACATGATCAGTGGCCCCTGTATCTACACTCCAGGTACAGGTAGATAACACTGCTAAACATGTTTCAACGACTAAAGCAAAAAGAGTACCTTTGTCGGGTTTCCTGGGAAGAGGGCAGTTTGCCTTCCAGTGTCCTTTCTGCTGACAATTTTAGCACTTGCCTTTCGGCTTCCTTGATTTTTGTCGAGATTGCGCGTCACTCATGACCGTCTTGCCCTTTCCTGCGGACTTCTTCCTCTTCTTGCCCTTAGGAGCCTTAGAAGTGGAAGCTTCTCCCTGCTGTGCTACCATAGCTTGGGTCTTCTGATGAAACAGGCCCTCTGCCGACTGAAGTTCAGCAACAAGTTCTGGAAGAGTCATCAATATCTTACTAATGTTGTAATTCAACTGGAATTGTTCGAATCTCTTCGGCAAAGACTGGAGCACTATATCGACCTGGGTTTCTCCATCAATAAGAGCCCCAAGAACCTCCAGCTCATTCAGCTGGGCCATCATAGCAAGAACATGTTCCCTTACGGGAGTGCCCTCGCGCATGGTCATGTTCATCAGAACCCTCATGGCCTCTTGTCGGGCAGCCCGTGACTGATGACCAAATAACTCCTTGAGGTTGAGGAGCATGTCCGCTGCAGTGTTCATAGACTGATGTTGATGTTGAAGTACATTTGACAAAGATGCCAAGATGTAACACTTTGCCATCTCGTCAGCCTTTTTCCACCGAGCATACTCCTCTTTCTCTTGGTCTAGTGCATTGTCAGCAGGCACAGCCGGGCAAGCCTCAACAGTAGCAAATCTGTACCCTTCAGCAGTTAACACTATATCCAAGTTCCTTTTCTAGTCAATATAATTGGGACCAACAAGTTTGTTTTCTTTGAGAATTACGGACAATGAATTGAAAGACATTTTAAATTCCTGGGATCATGCAAACATAGTCTTTACTCAGTCAAGTAGTTTTGAATTTATACATCAAATATTGATCCCATCTAACAATATTCAAATAAATTCACAAACACCTCAAAACTGAATCCCCGCAGGCCACTGAGTGTGGACGTCTACGGTTCAAACATTCTCAAGACGAGGGATAATTCCCATTAGCTTAACATACTGCGGAGCAATACTTAACTAATAGTCAGTTTCATCTTTTGGCCAGCACAAATAACTTTATAAAAGAATAAAAACGACCTTGTCCTTTGGGACTATCGTAATTATTTGCACTTTAAGCGTAACCCATTAATTGGTACTAAGTTTACTACCAAAATTATACGTCCACCTTTTGGGTGACCCGTACGCTTTTGAAATAGCTCACTATAACCATCCCGAAGGAGATTCGTCCTTGTGAACTGTGAAATAAATCGTCCTTTGGGCTCGGATTAAATCACTTCACTGACAAACCTATAATGGAGGCCTTGGATGTAATTTATTTCAACCCATTACACATTTAATATGATGTTTATTTTATGGGATTTTCTTAACATGTTTGTATTTGCACATAAGCAATCACGTAAAACATGCATGATTAATGAGTAATAATAAACTAGGAACTATAATTCAACTATCATGGTCATTAATCAATCTCCAATGTTACGGAGAAAACACAGTCCTGTCCTTGTTGAGTGTGTCCTTCGTTTCAGGTATTGGAACTCCCCTTAGTGACTCTCATTGAATTGGTTGTCTCCGGGAAAGTCGCCATTGGATCATCACCATGGCATCCGTGTACGTGTTTATCGCCTTGCCCCGTCAAGGTTGGTCCACGCCCGCCGGATCAATAACGAATAATATAAACAACAATTACATAATTCATCATATGACCCATGCAGGAGCCGTACATGAGTTTCTATGAAAGCAATAAACTATGCGGTGTCCCACCGCGCGAATAATTTATTACAAGCACTCACCAACCCAAAACATTTCTTGGCATGTCCAAGGTTTTAAAAACAGCATACATTCAACATGAATTAAATCCATACATATGGGCCACAATAGTCGGATTCGAAATACCTGCAAAAACTTATTGCAATTTCTAATCTACTATGCCGCTGTGTCCGTACACACATAATTCATGTAGATAGGCAAAGTCCAAAATTTAAACTGTGCACGAGTTTTCATTAAGCCTGGGCTCTGATACCAGTTGTTGGGTTCTGTTAGGAACGTCAAACAACATGCACAGTATTGAACTTTATCGAAATAAATCCTAACGCAGCGGAATCTATAGTTAGGATATGAACGTTTACCTTTTAAAATTTTTGCCGACTCTGAGACGATGTAGAGTACCGTTGATGAAGTTCGTTAGAACACCACAACCTAATGGGCCGATAGGTTTGGCCTTTAGTCGATTCTAATTGACACGTCAAACGGATCACGGTCGAATGGCACGCGGGTCTCGGCGTCAGGTTGCAGCAGGCAGCTCGCGGGCACTGGTCGCAGGTGGCAGCAAACGCGCGTTGGGCGCTGGGCTTGACGTGCTGGTTGCTGGGCTACGCGGACGGATGCTTGCACCGAGCGTGTGTGCGCGTCGGGCGCTGAGCGGGACGCGCAAGATGCAGGCGAATGCGGACGGGCGCTGCGAGCAGGTGTGCGTTTCGCAGACGTGCGCATGTGGGAGTCCTATGCCTACGCGGAATAGCGCTGGGCGTGTGCGGTCACGCGTGCGTGCGGAGCAAGTCTCCTGGGCGACGCGAGATGCTGCACGCGTACTCCTTCCGCGCTGGGGATGCGCGATCGGCGACTGCGAGCAGCAGGGACGAATGGGTGGTGCACGACTGCGTACTGGGAACGACCAGCGATCGCACGAACAGGCGTTGGGCCTTCGTGCGACGGTCCTGGGCGTCGCTTCTGGGAGCTGGGACGGCTACTCGCGGTTGTGATCGGCTGGTCGTGGACGGCTTCCGGCGGCGATGGGATTTTTCGGCAGTGGATCACGGCGGTGATGGGCGGCGATAAGGTGATGATGATTACCAGAAAATATAAATATAAAGGCTCGAATAGACTGTACCCAAAAGCCTTCTAACGGATTACCTAAACACCTACTTCGATTAAACTTGGTGGTTTAATCGAATCTCCCTAACTCTTGAACGATGTAATTCTCTCGTGTATGTAGAAGAGAAAATTCGGCCAAGACAACTTGTAGATGAGGTTGGGACATGGTATATTTATAGGCTCCATTAGGGACCTTAAGGAGGTGCTAAATATGGGCTTATTCCATTAGGCCTAGGAATCCTAATTCTACTCCAATACTAATTTAATGTAGGAAGGAAATCTCCTACTAATCTCCATCTTCTAAAAGACTCCTAAGTCTCCTAACACTAGAGAAGATCCTTGTAGGAATATCTTTCCTAATTAAATTAATAATCATGGAATAGAATTAATTCCTACTTTAGGAAACCTCCTAATTTTACGCCAGTTAATAATATAATGTAGGAAATATATTTTCCACTAATCTCCTTCTTCTAGAAGACTCCCAAGTCTTCTAATCCCAAAAGAAGATTCTAGTAGGAATTTTATTCTCCTAATTAATTAATTAATATGGAATAAAATTAATTCCTATGAATTAAATAATAAATCATCCCACTAGAGTAATATTATTGCTCTCCCCATATAGCCACTATTTTACCAATAAAATCGAGCCTCCATGATTAAATAATATTAATCCGATTGATCGATTTACCTCCCTATGTTTAAGATATAACGTCCGTTGATTAATTAAATTACTGACAAAATAATTAATCAACTTCTTATTCATTTCCGAAATTAGTACCACTCAGACCTTAACCATTATGTCAGACAATCGTCTACCTGCAGGGTTTAACATAATGTTCCTTCATGAGCTCATTTCGGGGACGTCATCAATCCAGACTGGAACATAGTGACTGTAAATAATTTATAACAACACATCATATAATTATTCTTACTTACCAAAATACCTCGTATGTCATCCTATTAAAATAGGAATCACTTGGTAAATCAAATAAATAAGAAATAAAAATATATGCCTATTTTATATTATCTTACAGCTTAAGAGAACGCATCAATCACTGAAGGTCTAGGTTACGACAACGGTCAGTGAGTCTCATATCCTTATCCTTCCGTGGTCTTGTTCAACACTTAACATAAGTGCTAGTGTAATCCTTCAGTCAAAGACCAACTGAATCAAGAATACACTACAGTCTTTTTCCAAGTGGGGTCTCACTGCCAGTCTAGACTGTGAACGAATAGTTTAGTCTTATAAGGAACCGATAGGTGATCTCTCTGTTCGAAACTCTTCGAACCACACTACCTCAATATAAGACATGGAGTATGTATTGCATAACTAAATAAACTTCAAACATATGTACTTTGACCGAAACATGATGGCCAGATCAAAATGGAATTGATAGAAACTGCAAAACATCGCTTTTACAGCATACCTCTAACACAAAGTGCTCCCAAAATTCAGAGAGGATGATATCAAAACCGTCCCCATTTGGATCAATCTTCCCTTCCTCTCATGGGAATGTTGGAGCACCAAGGCCCTTAGCAAGATTGCTTCTTCCGTCGGTAGACCCATCACTACCGGCATACTCACAGCTACGAGGGACCGATGCAACGACGCCCGGATTTTGGTGGAGCTCGACCTCTCAAAGGAAAGAGTGCTTAGCATTCCCGTTAAATCCAAGGGAAAATTTATGTTCGACCAAAAGGTAGAATATGAGTACGTCCCGCACTATTGCAATCATTGCAAATTTATTGGACACTCTACTCCAATTGTGGGAAGTACAAATTCCACCTCGAGGAAAAGGCCAAAGGCAAGAAACCGACCGGACAAGGCGAGACCATGGGGACTACCAAGAAACCGGTCGAACACCAAACGAAAGAAAAGGAGCAACCAAACAAGAAGGGGGTGGACACCAATAACGAGCAAGTAGAGAACCATGAGCCTAATAAGGTGGGGGTTGTGGAGCAACAAAAAAAGAAAAGAGACGAATTAAAGGAGAATGAGGATTGTGAAAAAAGAAAAGAGACGGTGGCCATTACATGGGATGCCGACTCATCCTCCTCTCCATTCGGGGACTTGGAACGCCAAAACCTTGAGACCCCTCCGGACAATGATGACGACTCCTTCCAAGTAGTAGGAAAGTACAACAAAATTCTCACTCGAAGTGGAGCCGTGAGTAAAGCCGCCGCAAATTCGGGACAACGCTTCAATCTTAGAGACAAACTAAGTAGGAGGAAAGACGGGGGAAGGGGAAATACATCGAAGAAGGGGGGGGGGGTCACCCACCCTCTGCTTAATGATTACTGCCTCTTGGAACATTAGAGGCTTTAACGGGCCCGTAAAACAAGATGAGGTGGTAAACCTCATCCGGAGAAATAACATTGATGTCGTAGGACTATTGGAAACAAAAACCGACACTAGGCAGCTATCTCTCTTTATGGATAAAAGGTTGTCGGGTTGGGCTTTTTGTGAGAATTTTGATGTGATAGACCGGGGGCGCATCGCCATCCTTTATAACCCCATGAAAGTTGACATCAAGATGGAGGCCGCCTTGCCCCAAGTCATTTTCGCAAGCATTCATTGTAAGGTTAGCAACCACTCGTTTATTGTTAGCTTTATATATAGACTTCACTCGAGAGGAGACTGGAAATTGTTGTGGAATGACCTTAGGGGCTACCGGGGGAGGATCGACATACCTTAGTTGCTCCTTGGGGACTTCAATGCCATCCTCAAACTGGAGGAGAGAATTAAAGGGGAGAAGGTCACTAACCGGGACACTATGGACCTCTTGGAAGTTTGTGGCGACTTGGAATTGTCGGACATCCCCTCTAGCGGTTCCTTCCACACTTGGACCAACAATTATGTTTGGTCGAAGCTTGATAGGGCAATGGTGGATAGTCAATGGGAAAATGCCGATCTATTCTCGCATGCGACCTTCCTAGCTTCGAGTATTTCAGATCACTCTCCATGCGTAGTTACAATATTTGAGGTGAGGAACACCACAGGATCACCATGGAAGTTCTTTAATATGTGGACGGCCCACGAGAAGTTCTTGTTGAGTGTTCAAAGTAATTGGAATCATGGTGGCGGGGGCTCGAGGCAATTCCGTCTTGTGGCTAATTTAAAGAATCTTAAGAGCTCGCTTAAGGCTCTTAATGAGGAGGCCTTCTCTCATATCTCCTCCCGGGCTAAAGAAGCTAACAATGCCCTAAAGAATGTGCAAAAAGAGCTCCATGACCAACCCGACGACCCCGAAACCAAGGCAAAGATGCCTACACTTAGACTCGAAGCACTTAAATTGGCCAAAGCGAAGAAACACTTTTATCAACAAAAGGCCAAATGCAACTTTTAAATAAAGGGTGATAAATGCACCAAATTCTATCATGGCTTGGTCAAAAAGCGAGCAAAATGGAATTTCATTGCCTCGATTAACCGGGAAGACGACACCATTACCGACTCCATGGAGGAAGTTACAAAGACTTCGTCCACTACTATGGTTTGGGGCTTAAGGATTTAAATGCGTGGAATCAAGCGTTGCTCACCTGGACACTTTGGAACATGCAAGAGAAGAAAGACACATTGTGGCAAAAATGGATTCACAACATTTACTTGAAAGGGAATTCCTTTTGGGATTGGGAAGTTAGACCGAAAGACTCACCTCTCTTCAAGTCCATATTCGAAATCTGACAAGGCTTGATTGAAAAGGCAGGACGTGAACGAGGTACGGAAGGCCTTATTCGAGGTTGGAACTCTCGAGATAAACGAGATGGGACTAGTAAATACTATGACTTCCTAAGACCTAGAGGATCCGCGATGTAATAACCCAGTTATTATTAATAAGTAATGTATTTCATAATGTTCATTTCAGCTTCCAGTCATTAAGTTCGACTTTAAGTCGAAAAGCCTATTCGATTATTTATTAACCCAGTTCATTTGTGAAATTTCGGGAGAGTACACAAATTTGTGCTGATACTAAAAACAATGAACGTTCTTGTAAAATTTGCGGAAGCGAATAAATAAAAACGAACTTTCAGGAGAGCGTCCCACTCTCCCTCAGAACTCTTTCATTAAGCAAGTGTTTGGCCAACAAGTACAAATAGGATTTACACGCATAGACTCCCTCTAAACTAACCTACTTTTTACTCCACCCACCTAACTACTTTTCTGGCCACTGCGTGGACTTACGCTGCACGTATGGATCCCTCCAAGAAGAATAAAGATGCTCGTCCCAAGAACCAAGTAGAAACTAAAACAGAGAATGACAGCTCGAATTACCAGCAATGAACCTTCACACTGGAATCCGATCACTCTATACAATATAATCAAAAACTCACGAGCTCTCAATGAATAAAACTCTAAACTTTCTCAAAGAATAATGGAATGGCTCATCTACTATCAGAGCTCGTGAAGCTAAAATATATACAACTATATATGGTATGCAGGTTCATCAGAAATCTGGAGTTTCCAAATTTACTTGATCTTCTCGCTCAACTTTGGAAACTGAATCTCCATGCCTTGTAGATCATGATGCTCGAATATCTTGCCTAAATCTTTCAGATTTATACGCGTCTCTCTCTCTTCAGTCTTGCAAACTTTATTTCCTTGTTTCTATGCGAACCTTCGGAAATATCTGCTTGCCGATTTCTTTCCTTTTCTTGTCGATTTCTTTCCTTTTCTTGCTCGATTTTCCAGCTTTCTTCCACACGATTTCAGCTCCTAAATCTCACAAGAATATCTCTCTTTTATCATCTTTTCTCTTCCTTTTCCTACAAGTAAAAGAAGTCAATAAATAACACAACATATAGTAAGAGAATATAAAAATAAGAAAAGTGAATATATATAAAATCTCCTAATGAATCTAATATATTTCCTTTACCTACAAGCTAAAGGAAGATAATTAAATCCAAATAACATAAAAGGAGAATAATTAAAATATGGAAAGTTAAGATAGAAATCTTCCCTTTCTCTTCAAGCATTATTCCATGATACCTATTTCAAGAAACAAATAAATTAATAATATTTTCGATTAATGCCAAATTATATTTTCTTACAATCTCCCCCTTTGGCATATAGATCGAAAACCCGTTTCTTGAAACAGAACCTGCAAAAGACAAGTCAAGCTCGCAGCCAGTGCAGATGAACCAACATAGGTCATCGAACTATAAACTATCAAACCATTGAGCATAAGACCTAAAAATCAGAGTATAGCAGGTCAAATATTAGAGCAAGATGGCAAGACTTGAAAATAAACTATCAGAGCAAAATAATCAAAGAAAGAACACAAAATAGAGCCTATGAAAGTACGTGATCAGTGTTAAGACTCAAGGTATAAGTACTAATCAGAGAAAACAGTACTAATCAGAAGAAACCCAGAAATAATCAGAACTCGCATGAATCTTCATAACTGTACTGTCCACAGACTTCTCCAATCAATCATCACTTGCATTTCCATCATTTTGCATATTTTTCCCCCTATTTCCGATCTAAATGTCGAAGATTCAGCAGTTGTTGCTCCCAAACTTGACTTCAGACCAGAAATAAGAGATGTAAGTACATCCAGATTCAAGGATAAAAAAGGTATAGTGTAAGAGAAGTCGTAAAGAAGAATATTCTGGTTGCAAAGAGAGACAAAGAGATGGATAGTAGGACAAGAAAAAGATATGATTCCAAGTCATGTGAAGAACAAAAGAAAAGAGATGGTTCCAACTCATAAACACACTTCACAATCAAGACATGAAACATCACTAGACAAGGAAATAAAATCAAGGATTAGACAAATAGTCAAGAAAATGTACCCAAAATAATTTTGAGCATGGATTCTTTTCCATTCAAACCTCATAGAAAATCATGCAAGAATGCCTAAAAATGAAGTAAATCGCACACAAAAATAAAAAAACAAACACACAAAACCACAATGTTCGCACACACAAGTGACCGAAATAATCTAATAATTTGAAAAGATCTTTCCAAGCAATCCTCATAACTGCGGACACTAAATAATATAAGCGAATGAACAAGATAATATGCAGCATCTTATATCTCCCAAGGACTTCTACACCACGTTTCTCTTAGCAATAACCGGAGTATTCCATCCAGAAATCAGCCCCACTACTTTGTGATATAGTCATCCCATTTAATTAACTTTCGCACCCCGTTTTACTTACTAACAACAACTATACGCCGAATTCAAGCCCATTACTTTAGAGCGCGGTTATCCAACACAATATTTTTAGCCTACTCGCTGCACTTTCAAAATTTTTTTTTATTTTTTTTTTATTTTTTAATAGAGTGACCAACCTTATGCAACATATGAACTTACATCACTCGTGAGAGCAATGACTGCAAGTAGCTTTCACACCTCACGCATATTCTAAGCACGTAACTCGCTTCACAGGTGATCACAAGTGAAACACCTCATGTGATAGTTGTCCACTGCTCATTTTGTGAGAGTAGCTCTTTCTCGCAGAATTAAATGGTCATTGTGCCGCAGAAATAAAAGAAAACTTAGTCCAATCAATCAAACATCAAACCAAGTTGAGAGCACCCATGTATACATTCAAAATGATTCTATGGTGCAATAATACAATGTGCAAAATATGCCTAATGCAATAAACCTACATGAACCGTGCAATAGATAATAATGAACTTACATATATATATTACAATACAATATAATATAATGCAATCACACAAGCAAATCACATAATGCACATCCCTAAGGATTTCCTTAGAGATATAAAACATTGAGAATCCAATGCTTTTGTGAAAATATCAGTGAGCTGATCTTGTGTAGGTACATGGTCCAAAACTATAATCCCATCCTCAACTAGATTCCGAATAAAATGATATCGAATGTCAATATGTTCAGTGCGTGAATGCTGGACAGGGTTTTTTGATATGTTTATGGCGTTGGTGTTATCACAAAAAAGTTGACTAGAATGTACCTTCATCCCGTATTCAATAAGAATTTGCTTCATCCACACAAGTTGGGAACAACAACTCCCAGCAGCTATGTACTCGGCCTCGGCAGTCGACAAAGAGATGCAATTTTGCTTTTTACAGAACCAAGAAACAAGATTTGTACCAATGAAAAAACATCCTTCGGAGGTACTTTTTCTACCATCAAGATTCCCAGCCCAATCGGCGTCACAATAACCTGCAAGGCTTGAACTTGTGTCAGAAGAATAAAAGATCCCATAATCAGATGTACCGCCAACATACTTAATGATGTGTTTGACAGCCTTCAAGTGCGATTCTTTGGGATCGGACTGGTACCTAGCACACAAGCTTACACTAAAACAAATATCAGGTCCACTCGCTGTAAGATACAACAAACTACCTATCATGCTTCGGTAAAGAGTTTGATCAACAGATGAACCTTCATCATCCTTAGAGAGCTTCGTATGAGTTCCCATAGGAGTCAGAGGGTGTTTAGAATTTTCAAGACCAAATTTCTTAACAAAATTCTTAGCATACTTACTTTGATGGAGAAAAATACCATCCTTACCTTGTTTTACCTGAAGTCCGAGGAAGTATATAAGTTCACCGACAAGGCTCATCTCAAATTCGGAGGACATGAGCTGTACGAAGTGGTTAATCATAGTCTTAGAGGTTGACCTGAAGATGATATCATCCACGTAGATTTGAACAAAGAGAAAGTCCCTGTTCGTCTTGAGAGCAAAAAACGTCTGATCGACTCCCCCTCGCTTGAAGCCCTAATCTAGAAGGTACATGGTCAGCCTCTCGTACCATGCGCGTGGCGCTTGCTTCAGTCCATACAATGTCTTCTTATGTCGGTACACATGATTACGATAGTTCGGATAAGTGAACCCATCAGGCTGCTTCACATACGCAACTTCATTCAAGATCCCATTCAGAAATGTGGATTTGACATCCATCTGCTCTGAAGAATGATCTTTCTGAATATTCGCAGGTGGATCCCGCTTAGATTCAGGCAGATTTCCTGACGATGAAGGTTCATTGGACTCAAAATTTTGAAAATTTTCATCAACATTGTCCATAACAGGTTCTTCCTTCCTAACATCAACCTGATTCACCTCAACTTCTTGTTTATCCTAGGAAGACACAGAATTAACAAAATCAAAACCAATAGAACTAGATGAACTAACATTCGGAAAAACCTCATCAAAAGTGACATTGATTGTTTCAATAACAGTGTGAGTACTTGTGTTATACACCCTGTAAGCACGACTATTAGAAGAGTACCCAGGAAAATAATAAATATCACTCTTGGCATCAAACTTACCTAGCTGTTCACGCTCATTATAAATGTAGCACTTACAGCCGAATATATGCAAATGTTTGTGATTCGGAGACTTACCTTTCCAGAGTTCATAAGGAGTAACACCAATACCTCGTTGAATGTATACCCGGTTGGTGAGATAACATACAGTGTTAATTGCTTCAGCCCACCAACGAAGTGACATCTCCTTGGAATGAAGCATTACTCTCGCCATTTCTTGCAATGTTCGATTTTTCCTCTCGGCAACACCATTTTGCTGAGGTGTCTTAGGGGAAGAAAACTCATGAAAAATACCACGTGAGTTGCAAAAATTAGAAAAATCAACATTCTCAAACTCATGGCCATGATTACTCCGAATCCCAATAATATGAAAGCCTTTTTCTTTTTCCAATCTCAAGCAAAGAGTTTTAAAAGTGTCAAACGTATCAGATTTTTCTCGAATAAAATCCACCCATGTAAAACGAGAAAAATCATCAACACACACGAATATGTACTTCTTACCATTGTAACTCTCTACCTGAATCGGTCCCGTCAAATCCATATGCAGTAGTTCGAGTACTTGTTTGGTAGTGATCTGCTGTATAGCCTTGTGGGGTGTACGTGTCTGCTTCTCCATTTGGCAAGGTCCGCAAACTGGATGAACCTTCATCGTCAGTTTCGGCACCCCTCGAACAATTCCTGCATTAGACAAATTTATCAAATGAGAATAGCCAATATGCCCAAGACGTTGATACCATATCTCAGTGTCGCTAGAAATAGCTTGATGGCACTTTGAACCAACATCAAGCAAATAATAATTGTCAGTCGAACGTGAACCTACAAGCACGCATGCATCATTACTATCAGTCACAGTGCACTTACTTCGTGAAAAACTGACAATAAGTCCTTGATCACATAGATGACTAACACTAAGCAAGTTGGCTTTTAGATTTTTTACAAGTAACACATCTTTCAGTTTGGGTAACCCATCAATATTCAAGCAACCAACACCTATGACTTTGTTACTAAATCCATCACCAAAAGTGACCTCTCCACTAGACACAAACTTTATGTCAGATAAGTATGAAGGTTCATCAGTCATATGTCTAGAGCAACCACTATCCAAATACCATTTACCTTCCAATGAGGTTTTCAAAGACAACACAGATGCAAAACACTTATGTTTATCCTTTACAACCCAAATCTTTTGCTGCATGTGGTTTTAAGATCAACTTTCAATTTAGGAACCTTCATGGGTATACCCAACTGATTCCATTGACTCACTTTTCCTAAATTTAAATCATGCTGCATCCTATAACATCTAGGACGTATGTAACCAGAGATACCACAATAATGACACACAGAAATAAAATTTTTCACATATACCTTCGGATGTTGGTTCATCTCAGGGAGAATTTGCTTACCTGATGAGCTGGAAACAAACTAAGCATGTAAGTTCGGAACCTGTTTACCTTTGTTGTTCAATAACTCATTCTTTTGCCCGGTATAGCCCAACCCTTGTCGACCGACTTGGCTCTTGTGCATGTCCAATAGCTCGTCAACATCAGCCTTACCTTTGTTCATTTTGTTCAGAATCTGAGATGTACGTTCAAGCTCAACTGATTTTTCCTTCAAATTCTGGTCGCATTGTGCTATGCAATCCCTCAGGTTCACATGTTCATTCATTACCCGAGAGAGTTCACCTTTGAGAGTTAGAACCTCCTTATCTTTATCACCTGCAATTTTCTGCAACGAAAAAAGTTCAGTTCTTAAAGATTCAATGACTTGATCCTTTTCTGAACTCGCCTGGCTGAATGTTAACTCTTACCTGAACTCTGAAAGTTATCCTGAGACACTTAAGTGGTTATCTCGGAATTGGAACATGGCATTTACTGACTCACTGTGGCTTGATAAGGTGCGACTTCAAGTTTCCAGTTTAATTTGGAATAATGATCTGTAATTCAAACCTCCACATTTAACCCGGCTTAATAACTATTATACATCGACCTTAGACTCATGAACATTGACTTTAAATCATGAACATTGACTCATGGACATGTACTATATAGGGCTGCTCCAGTATCAACTGGTTCCGCAAGTATAAAATAAATAACTGATCTTTGAGCTTTGAAAACCATAACTTGGAATATCACAGTGATAACATACCTGACATAACTGGCTTTAAAGGTTGTTATTACATGAAGTTATCCTGTTCTGGTCCCAGTTTCAAGTCTACATGGTATACCCGACTTAGTGGCTCTTATTTCAAGCCTCCATGGTAACCCGTAATATTGACTCTTATACACTGGAAACCGTACTTTTGGCAATGGCTTAGGAAATATAACAACCTTTAGCATGAAAATTTAGCCTTGAACATGATTTACTGATCTGACTTAGGAAATTTGAGTCTATTCACTGATCTAACTCAAGGAATTCCTCCTTGGAATGTGCCAACTGGTTGGCAAAATGGGCAATTTTCGATAAAAAATGTCTGAGGAACATGATTGTTAAGATTTGTCAACATAAGTGCTTACAAATCTCTTGACGAGTCACTTAACATGGCTGGAAAATACTGACATTAAATGATGGTTATACTGAACTATGAATCCTGAACATGATTCGAGCATCTTAACTAAGTCATAACTGTGGTTTGCTGAGCATAGACATAGTAATTTGTTTATAATTTAAAAACATGAATCAGCACTTACCTGTAGTCGGCGAGGCGTGAGCGTGACGTGTTCAGGTTTTTGAAAAAAATTTCTGACTCGCAAAAGTTTTAAGAGGCGTAGAAACGTGCTCTGATACCATCTGTAATGTAATACCCCGTTTTATTGCGGATTATTTGGGAGTAATTATTGATTATTGCTATTATTAAATTGTCTTTATTATTATTATTGTTATATTTATTATTATAATTGCTATTAATTATGTGTTATTAGTAACATTGCTATTATTAATATTAATTGTCTAAATATTATTAATTGTCAAATTGTAATTATTTGCCTAAATGCATATTTTTACTACTATTAATATTATTATTTTAAAATATGGTGTGCGTTATAAATATAGATAATCCGGATTAATTTATTACTTGCCATCGATCGAGCATCTCGAGAATTCTTACTATCGCGTATATTTTATTTTGGCCCGAAGCGATTTAATTCATCGGCCTTTTGCCATTCTTTTTCCAGCCCAAAAAAAAAAAATTGAACTAAATTTTAGTCCATTTTGGATTTTGAGTATTTGGCCCAATTTTCTTAACTTCCTTTAGCCCAAATTGTATGCTATTTTTATATCTTGGCCCAATTGGATGAACCCAAGAGATATTTTCTTCCCTTTATGACACACGTGCGTAACAGATCAATCCATCTTCTCCATTCTCTTCTCCGCAAAAGACCAGGTCGTGCGATTCGAATTTCAGGTAGCGATCTTGGGGGAGAGATCACGCAATAATCGCTCCTCATCCTTTACTTAAATCGTGCGACCACAATCGAAGATCTCACCTCATCCCCTTCCTCCTATCTCTCTCTCACTCTGTTCGCAGAATTAAAAAAAAAAAAAAAATCGCGAACCTTCGATCGGCGAAGCTGCCATAGTTCCCGGCGAGCACCATCCTCCCCGTGCGTTCTAACCGTCGACCATCAGGGAATCAGGTCGCCACCCACCTCCGAGCAGCAGGGCACCGTAGTAGACGACGTCCGCCATTGAATTCGGCGGAACCTTCCACTTCCGGCAGCTCTGTTCATCGACGCCCGCCACGGAGTCCAGGTCGCGTCCGTCATCGAGGTCAGATTTAGTTCGCGAGCAACTGTTCAGCGAGCTTTTCGAACTCCGAAGCCCGAGTCCCGTTTGAGTGTTCGAGGTCCATTCGTCCGACCCGTCTTTTCGAGATTCCCGAAGACGGGTAGATCTCTTCGAACCTCCTCGTATATTGTTATACAGATTGATATCGCTCATTCATTTTCGTTCGTGTTGAATTGTTTCGTTGGCTTTCGTGTTCAATTCATTGTCGGCTTGTTTACTCGTTGTGTTCGTCGGATAATGATTGTGAGATTGTCGTGGATGTTCGGAACACTCGACTTAGTTAAATCGAGTCTGTTTCTAATTGCTGCAAATTGATGGTAGATTCAGAGTCTCGTTAAATTCTTCCGAGTTGTTATATTCATCGCTCGTATATGCAAGATTGTCAAGGCTGGTTACGTATTGCTCGGACCCGGTTCTTATAACTTTTCAAAATTCTATATGTATATGAGATATCAAATTTTACAATGTCTTGAAACTGTTGTTTAACGAATTCATTTTAAATTTTCAGAGTTCCGTTTTTATTGATTGGAGTCGTGATGTCGTTTGATTGTTTCAAACCAATAGGTGTCGTTTCCTATTCCGAACAAACCCCATTTTTGAAAGGTTTTCAAACTCTGGAAGGGTCATTATGTTGGGTAAAAATTTTGTGAAATTTTGCTGTTGAACTTGCAGCCTGAAAATTGTGTTTTAATCTGCTATTTGGCCTCTCAGTTCGCAGTTTTTATTTTGGTTCAGTAGCAGGTTTGTTCAAAAATTTATGTTGTTAAGTCTGTAAGTTAAATCGCAAAGAGAGCGCGTAGCGCAGTGGTCATGAGCGTTGATTCCGTGCGCGAGGTCGCGGGTTCTATTCCCAGCGCTTGCGAAATGTAGCTATTTTTTTTAAAAATAGAGCAGCCAGCGCGCGGGCTTTCTGGCCCGAACTTCGGCCGGCGCGCGGCCCTTCATTGGATCAGCAGCCTGGCCCGCGAGCCCATATCCGGCCCGCGAGCCCAATTTTCTGTGTAGCAGGCCTATGCGGCTCTTGACTTGTCTAATTGGCGGCCCAAGTTCGCGTATGGGCCCATTTCAGTGCCAGTAGATTTCCAGCGCGGCCCAACTATTTTTTAGCCTTAATTTTGGTTCCGGAAGCCGATTTTAATACCGATTTCGATTTTAAAAATTATTCTCAAAGTAGTAAAATTTAAGAAAATTATTTTGAAGTCCCGAAACTCCAAATTATTTCTTTTAGTCCTATTTTGCAAAAATTAGAGAGTTCCAAGTCCACGAAAAATCCGATTAAAACCCCTAAGACTTAATTTTTATTAAGTATGGGTTTTATGTTAAATTGAGTAGTGAGATAAATTATTGATAAATTATCTCGATTAAATGTAGGTGTTTGAGGAGTCGAGCCTCATCCTACGTACTTTCTCTTGTGGGCAGTTTCCTACCGAGCTATCCATGTGGGTTGTAATTGTAAAAATTTCTATGCCTTAAATGTTATTACTGTTTTAATTGTGGTATGATCAAAGTATGCATGTGAATCATGTAGCCTTCGGTGTGAGCTGTATCGGCCACCGGACGGTTGTCCCCGTAGCTATAGAACGTACCTTCGGGTAGTCTCCCTTGAGAAGCCGTAAGACCAGGGCTTAGGTCCCTCGGCCGGTGATCTTCATTGGTAAGTCCAAGGCAAGACCTTGGCCGGTGGGGTGGTTTTACTCCTACTGGCTGGCACTCGATGTAGGACCGGAGGGCATTCGATATATAGTCAGCAGTAGTCTATGCGTAGGTGTGCACATGAGTCTGATTATTGTATTA